AGAGGAGGAAGAATTAGAAGAAGAACCCCTCGAAAGGAGGTGTAGGGGAGAAAGAGGAGAAAGCAGTGGCACGAAGGAAGAAGATGCGTGGGTGGAGAAGAAGATCAGTGAATGGGTTGCTAATTTATCCTTGGGAGAAGATGAGGAGGCAATGTTGTATGTGCCTCAGGAGGAAAAAGAAGCCATAGCCAAGGAGTTGGAAGCCATGGAAGATCCCCTGGACCGCCAGACACTAGAGGATGAAAAAAGATTGGAGTGGAAGTTGCGGCTGGCAAGGGGGAAGAAGAGGAGGAGGGAGGAGGCCAACCGGATGGCCAAAGAAGTGGAAAAGATACAAACATGTAAGCAAGAAGTGGGAGCACAGCAGGATATTCCATCCAAATTAGATGAGATCTTGAGTTATCTCGAGATTTTGGGACAGGCTTGGACTGAGCAGTATCAGGCTAATAAGGGCCAAGAGGTGACCCTCCATGCCATCCGGACCGGGTTTAGAGAGTTTGCGCGTGACGTGGTGACCCACGTCGGGACCAAAGTTAAGAGGTTAAAGGAAGGCGCAGAGAAGTTATGTGCAGGCACCATTGAAAGCGCCAAAGTAGTGGCCACAACAAAGGCTGAAGCGCGTCCCCGCAAAGAGCCAGTCAAGCTCAAGTTCCCAAACGCGTATGGCGGGAAGCCCGAAGAGAGTTTTGATAATTGGGAGGCTAGCGTCAATAGCTATGTTTATTTACAACACATCATACTTGACGAACAGGTTCTTGTAGTCTTCCATGCACTGAAGGACGAAGCGGCCAATTTTGCCAGGTCCCTAGAGCGCGCAGCTAGTTGTGAGAACAACATGGTTGCCTATTCTAAAGTCACCTCCCTTCCCCATTTCTTCAAGCTCCTCCGAGAGCGATTCGCTGATCTAAGGCATAGTGTTAAGGCCTCAGACAAACTCCAGACCATCCACTCACGGCAGTGGAGTGCGCAATCACTCAAAGCCGTTATGGATGACTTGGTAGCCGTACCAGACCACGGGGTCACTGAGGCCTAGTTTGTAACGGGAGTGAGGCTGAGGGTGAGCCGAGGGAGAGGAGAGAGAGAGGGAGAGAGTGAGAGCACACACACACACTCACTCACTCGACACGACGGGCTCGGACTGAGGGTTGGACGCAGACACAGTGGCAAAGGCACAAAGTCGAAGTCTTGGATTCCCAATGCCGAAACGGCAAGTCACACTGGTCCCCGTACCGTACGGGGAGCTGGTATAAGTACCGGTGACACGTACGGTACCAGGGGCATTTCTGCAAAGGCCCCGAGGGCAGAACTGAAAAATGCAGTACTTGAAAGTGGCGCCCGAATTGCAGCATGGCGCCAGTTGTCCAAAATCCTACGGTACCAAAGGAGGGGTTTGGAAAAAGGGTGCCAGGCCGAAAACNTTGAAAGTGGCGCCCGAATTGCAGCATGGCGCCAGTTGTCCAAAATCCTACGGTACCAAAGGAGGGGTTTGGAAAAAGGGTGCCAGGCCGAAAACGGGATGCAGCCGAAACAGCAAAAGATAGACCAGGGATCGAGCCCTGGCGAAGTCCGTAACATAGTTGGTCCAATTGTTTTATCGTGCCATGCCAGAACCCTTACGAGGGCATTTCTTTGACAAGAGTCAACAACCCACCATGACGTATGATGCCTTGAGTAGAGAGGTGGTGCTGTATGGGGCAAAGTCCATGTCAGTGTCCACTTTCACTTAGACAAATGTAAAAAGTGGACGGGTCGTACCATCTCAGGCCAGGTCAGGGCCAAGGATCGTCTGATCCTTACTTTGGACGAAGG